AATTTAATATAATTGTTTTCATGATTAGCTGAAATGTTGTTGGCTTGTTTGTTTTTTTGTTTATTCAACTGAAGCATCAATGCTGTCTTTAGGCAATGAAAGAAATCTGAAAAGCCTAGAGCTGTCAGATGAATAGTTATTTTTCCTCCATCTGTCAGTAAGAGTCTGTTAGGCTCAAATATTTATTTTTTTTGTCATTGAAAATAAACTATTTTAACACCTAAAAGACAATAGAGCATCGGGTTCTTTTTGTTGTTGTTGAGGAAAGTATATGCCGATGTGCTGAAGTCATTTAAGGGACTTGATTGAAATTTTAGATTTTCCCGTCGATTGATTGGACCAAAGTGCTCGGCCTCACGTTGACATGTCGGTTTCTTGTGCAGATGCTTTGACGATGTCTGGCCATGTGATTAGAGGTTAACTGGGGGATGGTGAGTAGCAGTGGAATCCAGGATGCGTATGTCGTCCTACTTGGAACTCGTCAGCTGGATGTACCTGCATCCCGCAGTGAGTGGTAATGTTCCCAGACATCGTCGAAGCATCTGCACAAGAAGTCGACATGTCTAGCTGACACCAAGCACTTCGGTCCAATCAATCGACGGGAAAATCTAAAATTGAATTATATAGTTAATGTGGCCTGTTGCACAAGCGATGGCTCTCGTGGCCCAAGTGGTCTAGTGCATAACGCTTTGGCGTTTGAAGCTATGGGTACTGGGTTCGAGTCTCGATGGGAACATCACCACTCAATGTGGAGTGCAGGTACATCCAGTGACGAGTCCAAAATAGGACGAAATGCGAATCCTGGATTCCAATGTTCGTCACCATTCACCAATTAACTTCTAAATACTACTTCCTTGATAATATTTATCATTATAGCTTAGTTTGAATGTGAGTCAAACTTCATCTGAAAGCGATAAGTTAAACTATCTCAAAATCCAGGGATACTATATATCAGGCTATGCAAATTAAAGTCAAAAGTCAATCTAGCAAAGTGGTGTTAACTAACGTAGAAATCGTTCCTAAATACCTCAGAAAACTTCTTCTTGATAACTGTTCACTGGATACAAACAAATTATTACAGCTGAATCTTCAGTAGGCAGGTAAACTTCGGAATAAAGTTTATCCTATTAACTTTCATCGAATGGTTATTTTCACTCAAGATTCATGAGATAAATTCACAAGCTACATTTTAGTGTTTCTGACCAGTTTACATCATGCTTATGTTTTAAAAAGCTCAAAACTCTTGTTAGCATTTGACAGAGACAGAAAGAGGCAGCAGGTCTTCTGATATGCTTTAGTACCAGCACCTGACCACTTTACTCTTCATAATCCACCAGATATCGTGGTTAAGGGTTAAAATGAAGAGAAAAAAAACCGTCTCTTGATTATGTCACTTCGTTAGTATTAGAGATTAGTCATTCAAGAAATGAAACAGTTAGTAGACGCGTTTACACTTCACCTGATAATCTGTTAATGGCCGTCAAATAGAACTTGTTTTGTTGGTACGTAATGACAACGATATTGACAGACTAAGTTTATTAAACTTTAAACTTATTACCAGTTTAGTAAAAGTGATTTTCTATTAAAACTAATTATCCTTTAAAGTATCAGTATGGAATGAAAATACTCGTAGATGTGTATACTACTGATTGATTGGGGTGAGTAGTTCTCTACTACTTGTTTCAGTCAGTAGTGCTTACTAGCCAGGTCGAGGTGATCTAAACACTGTACAATCGTTTCGCCTGTTTGGCGCCCAGCTCATTACAGGTGTACCCAGGTTTTACTCAGCTCAGACAATCGAATCATCCCAAGCCCCTTGATCTCTGGCTAGTTACTTGGATGAACCGGTGACACCATTATGAATTTGATTTATGGAATGCTTATAACCTGAAATAGTGTCTTCAGTACTGTTGAGTTCTTCGAACCCATTCTTATTTCCCATCGTCATCTGATGACAATAATTATTCAGTATGAATTTTTTTATTCAGGGTTTGGGGGTTTCTGTGGATTTCATAGAAATTATAGCACAGATGTTCCTGCTTGATGGTATTCAATTGTTCTCTAACTTATGCCGGTTGTGACGAAATCTATTGTGAAATTAATCATAATTATGATTAGGCCAAAGAATATAAATCGACTATTTTTCAGAATAATGCTTGGCTTGGCAATGATGCCATTTTCGTTATAGTTATCTGTGTGATTGGTGACTTATGACGTTGTGTAAAAGTTGCCATAAATATTATAATTCGAAGTCGAGTGACATAATAAACATTACCTGTTTTTGTTAAAAGTCAGATAAATGACTTATAATGTAGTTTTTCCATCAGTAAATCTTAAGACAAGCAAAACAAACGAATCTCCTGTCCAGTTTTATGAATCGACCAAGATTATTTGTCGTGGCGGACAATAATAATTGTGCAGATAAGTATTAAGTGCCTGTTACTCACTCTCAACAGAACCTTCCGGTGAAGAATAACGATCTGATTTTTCCTAGCTTTAGTTCATTTCTCATTATAGTGTTAGTAATTCTTCTCTAGGCATATACACTAATTCTTGTGCTTTATGCCTGGAAGGTCACACTTTCCCAGGATCTGAATATTCACTAAACGTCTCACTAAAGAGAAACTGATAAAGGTATTAGTTTTCATTGAATTCTATGTGGGAAAGTGATAGTAATTCGTTGGATATCGGGTGCAGTCTACAGCTTAAGGTGTTTCCTGACAGCCAACACTGATGCAAATGAAATTCGTGGTACCTTTGAAGACTAAATGATATGAATTGCAACTGATTGTATGCGTTGGTGGTTGAGGGGTAGAATACTCATCAACCATACCTATGGTCCGGGGGTCAGCTCCCTTCGAACGCACTCTTAGACCTCGCCTGTGAAAGAGGAAAGGTTGAGTGTGAGTCTATCAATCCTGCCTCGTTAAAAATAAAACACACTGCAACTGGAAAATCATAACTTAAGCCCGAAGTCCTATATTACATTCGGAACACGGAGTAGAATTTTTAAAAATATTTACAGTAGGTTGTAGAGTCTAAAAAGAGTTCATGCCTTTTGTTCTCTGAAACCTTCAATACTGCGTTATACTGTACCAGAAAACTCATAGTTTTAAGTTTTTAAGTTTCCTTTTTTCAGACACAAAAATAAACTTTTTTGAATGTTTTATCTTTCTACATAAAAGTCACTCTTCATTGTTTGAAGTAAAGAGTAATCGCAAATGTTCACTACTGTGTGTTCTTGTTTCTTATTCTCGTTTCTAAAATAACCTTAAATAGATTTTGTCAGTCTCTGGACGTTTTTAACCTTAGTCTGAAAATAATTCCAGTGAGACAGTTTCTTTTATTCCTTCACGTTCCCAGTGGAACATAGGGCTTCAAGCTAATGGCTTGAAGTTTCTGTAACAGTGTTTATTTTTACAGGATGGGGGTGCTATCCTCATGTACAACCTTTCCTCTTCACCAGCATTATTACTGGCTTAGCGAGGTAAAGGAGTGCGTCGGCCGAACCCCGGATCATGTGCATGGTCGGCGAGCGTCCTAACCGCTATGCCACCAACGCACAAGTGACACAGTTAGCCAGTACTATCTTGTAGCGGTAATTTCGAAGAATTAACAATTTTCTGGTCAAATATTTATTTCGTTAGATATAATGTAGATTAAAACTTTAAAGCAAATCGAAATTCTGTGTATAATTGGATATTTGTTCAACAAAACTTGATACATCATAAGACTGGTATCATGTAATTGGAATTAACAGATTGAATGTTTGGAGATGTTATAAGGACCGAACTGTGTATTTTCACAAGTTGTAGGGTGGGCGTGGGGATGACTGGCTAAGAATCAGCTAGTATGTGTACATTTCTTAAAGTAGATAGGAAGTAGGGAATCTCTTTGTGATTTCATAAACTAAATTTTAGTATTTACTGCGTCAGTTTTTTTCAGGATATTGGAAAATTTCACTCGTTAAATAAAGTCTGATCATCTGATTTGTTGGTAGAAGGCGTTCAAATACAGGAACTGCATAAAACAAAATTATTTGCTTCTAAATACATGGAGTTATTGCCTGAATAAGCTGTTGATCGAGAAACTGAAAATTAAGAACCAAAGAAACACTGTGGAGCGGAAATTTATGAAAGATGACTGATACGAAATCTTTTCCCATGGATTAGACCAACAGTAAGCACGACAGGGCACTTATCTTCTTTGGTGATATCTATTCAGACGATAGATTGCCTTTATGTAGTCTATGTCAGCGTGCAGCTGTGTGCCTAGCTCATTCACTGAGAATATTCACTAGACCAAGATAATTTATTTCAAACCATTTACTGAATCTGTCGTTTTAAGGAATACTGAAAACTCGACTCAGGAGAATGAACCGCACATGCACTTTCATTTTCAAATGCTTGACGGCTGATATTGGTTTTTAATTGGGCGTACTTAGAAATCAATTAAACCAGTATAAAAGTTAAAACGCAGTTTCCACTACACAGATAATAAGAGATTAGCTCTGAGATGGATTCCCTGAGGTTCCAATAAGAATTTGTAAACAACAGCCTCTCATGGTATGTCAAAACAGTTATTCATCAAAATCAGTTAGTGACAGTAACACTATATCGTGAATAAACACAAGTTGTAAAGCAAAAGGGATTGTATTTTAACCCGTTTTCCTGAATGGTAAAGTTTCTGTCGCAAGACTCTGAGATACCTCCTCAAACTGTACCATAACGTATGTGTGTATGATTGGTGCACGTCAGACGATGATAAAATAGGCATTAGGTGCTCCTTGACTTTTTCTCTAACTAATGTTTATTAGTGAAGTTCATTATTATCGGTTATTACCGTTAATTAGTTGGGACTTAACAGTTTACTCCAAGTTATTTGCACTTAATCTTATTTCTTCTACAGTCAGTCAGTCCCGCTGCACACTGATATCCTCTTACGTAAGAGTGTCATCACAAATAATTTTTTTTTTAAACATATAAATGTATTAAACTCACTTTTGTCAATATTCCTGAAGAAATTATTATTTTGGTCATCTTCGTGGGATAATTCTCCTCTAAGTGGATTTACCAAGGAAGAAGAAGAAGAAGTACATTTAGCGTGTGAAATATCTGAACTGAAGTTTTTCAGTGAAGAATTTAATACCTCTGGCTGGCTATTAAATACAGATGATTGAAGATTAGAAGACGGAGAATAAAATGAAGTGAAATCTAAAAGTTTTGGCAACTGACTCTTTTGTAAATGGTCTACAAATTCACGTATTCTAGGAACACTGTCATTCATACAGTTGCTATTGTTGAAATTAACATTATTATTATTGTTATTGCTGACAGTGTTTGGATAAAAACTGGTATCTGATGGTTCCGCTGAACTCATACATGAGTTGGACGGCATAATTTTTGACATGTCATGAATATTTTGAGACTGAATCAAGTATTCTTGTAAAATATTTGGCTGATAAAAATTTGTCATTGGCATCTGGAAGTTAGTATTTTGAGTCTGTGATAAGTATACATTTTTGAAAAATTGTAAAAATAGTTTATTCTCTAGAGCATTTGAGGGACAATAATTTAAATGACCTATTGGTGGGTCATAATTCTGTTTTACATCGGAATTTAAAGGAGTTGAAACCATTGAATTTGAATGTTTCAATGAATCATTAGTACATCCATTCTTCGAAGTCACCTTACAATGGTTTTCTGGTACGGATTTATCTTTTTTGCTATTTGCTTTTTTGTCTTTTGTGTTATTTAAATCTAGAAGGGTTCGAATAGTGAAAGGCAAGTGTCTAGTATCAAATTTCGAAGATTTCTTATCCGTGTTATTCTGATGTGTCATTGTGAATAAATTCAGTTGGTTTCCTAACCGTAGTTCTGTACAATTTAAATATTTGATGCAATAATGTAAAAATTTCTTTTCCCTATAAATTACAAGGAATTATAGCTTAATTTTCCCATAATCTAGGTCAAGTTACAGTTAACATTATGTAAACTAAGCTAATCGCATGTTGATTGGCTTACAGTTTGCGCCTAATTCCTTTCTGGTACACTCTATTGTTCTCCCCTTCATCACGCTAAATATTATTTCAGTTTTTCCTATGGAAGAAAGTAGGACAGCAGAAAAAAGTGTGATTGCCTTAAAATCATGCAAAACAAACCTAATTTCTTCCTAATCTAGACTAGCATTTAAACTAAGCCAATCAGAAAACGAGTGAGACGGATATGTCAGTTCATTGATTGGCTGTCCGAATTTATGGTTAATTCATTAATTTCATAATTGGCTCAACTATGTATGCATAATGGCAACCGAGTTAGGAGGAAATTCTTAACTTAAACACCGCATATAAATAATATCTATAAAATATTTTAGTTATAACTGAATCACAGGTTAACATATTTTAATACAGAACACCACCGCACATTTTTAATGTTTACAAAGAATGCTGTACCACCGCATTTGATATTATATATATATATATATAAACTTTGATCCTGATGGATAGCTGCTACCTTCAAACGGTGATCAGGCTTCCATGCAGCAATGATTCAACAAACTGCACTGGATAAAACCAGTGCTTTTGCGGGTCCTAATTTGCTGAAAGTTAGATAAAAAGTAATTACCATCATAGCGTAACCCATCTACACAGTGTTGGGTACTTCCAGGATGAAGTTGTACTACTGACGAATAAGGGTGTAACACCAATAAGGCGTTATCCTCAGATGATCAGCGAGCCAGCTATGTTACCCCTTCTGTCGTGATGATAAGGGGTAGTAAAAGTCAACCACAACAGTTGTACGTCTTAACTTATTCTACAGAGGTTTGTAGCCAAAAGTAGCGTCTTCAAATCAGAAAACCACTGCAAATACTCCTTGTGTGACCGACCACAAGCAACTGTCCCCTGAGCTCTGCTGTAGCACAAGATTAATGTTTTTTCTGTTTCAGACATTAATTCCACTTCTGATAAATTTCAAACTGTATTTTATTATAAAATTATATTTGACCACGAGCTAACGTAAGTTATAGAATCATTAGAATAACTGGGAGTACCAGACAGTCGTTTCGCCCTAGACTGGGACTCTTCATGGTACACATGCTCTGGAATTCAAACCCAGGACCTTCTTGTAACAAGATGAGTTCTCGTTCAATACAAGAAGTTACCTGGAGTTCTAATCAATTGTAATTACCACAGTCCACCGAATCAGGTAACATAACAGCTAATCGGATGGAGGATTTCATCATTTGCTGACATCAGTTAGAAAACCACTGGAAAACGTGGGAGTACTGGACAGCTGTTTCGTCCTAGTTTTGGACTCTTCAACGACTGGCCCTATTCAGGCAGTGACCTGGGGTTCTAGTGACCAGTAGGGTACAGAAGGTTGAAGATGAGGCAGTTACTCATCGAAGAAGACATTGCGAAATGGTCACGCTATGTCGTGGATTGGCTGAAGTTAGAATTCATGGACCATTGGATCGGGTCCCAGTGGCTCAATGGTCTACGAGCTCGCCTTGTAACCAGAAGGTCCTGGGTTCGAATCCGGTGGTGCGTGCTTATGAAGAGCCCCCAACTAGGACGAAACAGCTGTCCAGTACTCTCCGGTATTCCAGTGGTTCGCTAACTGATACCAGCTCATGATCAAACCCGTAATCAATCAAATCCCTGCCAACGAACACTCGAAAACCTGTATTTCATACAAACAGTGAAGAATACGTTTTCCAAGGAACTTGTGTGTTGATACTACTGTATCGGAATCAAAGTCTGGAAGTCATTTATCATCAGACTTCGATTCATCATTTGAATAGAAATAGGCTAAACAAGAAATCAGATTCTGCTGAACTCGATCTCATAGGAGTCCCAAACTATGGCGAAATAGTTGACGGGTGCTACTTTGTTTTCAACAGTTGCTTATCTGATGTCAGTCGTTGACGACACTTTTTTTTCTTACATCACTTAGTTATCCATAGAAATGAAAAGTGTATTTAAGGAGACTGTTCACTAGTATTTTTTCATCCTTTATCCGTAAATTCTTTTAACCATCCAAGTTCACTTTTTGAGTGCCTACTTCAAAATTTATCACAGTTAAGGTAAGTTTCACATTCGAACTTTTAAACTCAATTATAAAAGCAACTGTTGATGAGCAAAATAAATGAATATTTTCAGATTATGGGATTTTTGGAGATTTGGATCAGTTTCAATAGTTAGATTTTGTCACGATCAGGCATCCGTTAGAGTGATCTTTGAAAACCAGGTAGCACACTGGACAGCTATTTTATCCAAGTGAGGGACTCTACAGTAATGCATACTGCTTTGGTACACACTCATCTGTCAGCAGTACGAATTCATCCTGAAACCACTCAGTATTGCACAGACGTTCCAGCAACTGCTTTTTATCTAACCTCTAGCATGCTGGAACCTGAAAAAGCACTGGTTCCAACCAGTGTGGCTTGATCACCATGTGAAGGTAATAGCTATCCTTTAGGATCAAAGTATTGATTCGTGTTGAACCAATGCCATCAATGAGCATCTGCTTCACCTCAACGCGACAACGCTGAATGACGAAATCAAAAGGTTAGAATTCATAGGTTATTGAATTCTGGCTCAACTGGCTGAATATTCAACGACCTCGGTCTCGTAATCTAAATGTGCTACAGCCGATCACTAGTTGGGTCCTGGCTGCACCTTGTGAAGACTCGCTAGACAGGACGAATCGGGGTTTGTTTAGTTCTCCTTGGTACTAGTGATTTCTCTGACTTATGCTAGTTCTTGAGGAAATCCGACAAATGAAATAGGTACATATATATATCCTTGTTTTGTACCTACTTTCGTCTATTTTCCACTTCTGCACTGTCATGATATTTGGTGTTGTGAAGAGATTGTCTGTTTTACTAAGGCTCTGTATTGTTTTATCTATCTATTCCCTTTTCTTCTGATGCAAATACTAGAATTAAGGCTTGCACTGAGGTTTAACCATTTCAACTAAAGCATGGCAATTAAAATCACACCTTTTTGTTTACTTACGAGTGCTTGCAAACTTTGGAGTTCTGTGATATTAAAAATAATTGAAAATAAGTTATTGAGAATCTCACTGTAAGCCTCCATATGTAACAGTAAACTTGGCCTCCATAATTTTTATCATAAATATTAACAGTTATACATCTTGAATGGAAAGTACATATATTATTGTTGTAGAACTCATAACAGTGATGAGTATTGGGTTGCGGGATTTCCCAATGACAAAACTGGGGTCTGTAAGCAAAAATTCCTATGCGTTTAAATACTAATTGTCAATAATGTCTACAGGAAAGATACTCAGTTGGCTATGGTATTTAAGAAGTAAAGAGAATAAAGAAACTGGCTTAAAGAAGAGTCACTGTTTTTATTGTCTCTCTGATGCGAAGTTACTTTTAGAATTTATTTTGGCTCTACTCCGGTTACTGAAAAAGCGTTTTAGTTGAATCCGATTGCAGTATTATTTCATACAATTGTTTCTATTGATGAACCTGATGCTCACGGATATTATTCAATTGCCGTTTGTTAGTAGTAGGGTATAAGACTCTCATCAAAAATTCCCTTTCTTGACATGGAACTGACAAGAAGACCCGATGGAACCTTAAGAAGGTCAGTCCCCAGGAAACCAACTTGGAACGTTTAACTAACGGATTTCCACAGTCTGGTGCCGCCTGTTGAGAGAAAACGACATTTAATTAAATCTCTTGCAATTCGGATCTGACACGTGTAATACTGACACTCGAAAAGCAAAACCAGGTCTTCTGAATGAAATCTTCATCTAGAATCGAAAGCCACTAAGATTCATTGACAAGAATATCAAACCAAAAGTTCAGAGAAACAAAATATTCAAGTGTTGGTTTGTAGGGATTTGATTGGTTACAGGATTTTCATCATGAGCTGATATTGGTTAGAGAACCAATGGATAACCTGGAGTACTGGACAGCTGTTTCGTCCTAGTTTGGGAACTAATATCAGCTCATGATGAAAATCCTGTAGCCAATAAAATCCCTACAAACCAACACTTGAATATCAATGAGATGCTCACTAGCGACTTGCTCTATTCAGGTAGGTAGTTACCTGGGGTTCTAGTGAGAAGTCGTGACCAGTAGGGTGCAGCAGGTCGGGTGTGAGGACAAATACTCGCGCTATGTCGTGAATTGGCAAAAGTTAGAATTCATGGGCCATTGGATCGGGTCCCAGTGGCTTAATGGTATACGAGCTCGCCTTGTAACCAGAAGGTCCTGGGTTCGAATTCCGGTGGGTGCGTACTGGTGAGGAGTCCCAAACTAGGACGAAACAGCTGTCCAGTACTCCCAGGTTATCTATTGGTTCTCTAACCAATATCAGCTCATGATGAAAATCCTGAGACAAAATATTACTTGTTCCAAAAAGGAAACTTTACATGAACCTGGATTTCGAGCTAGACTTAACCTGAGATATCCCTAAGAGATTAATTCCACCATCTTTGAGAAGAACATTCTTCTTAGCACCACTAACAGTAGGGTCGTCCAGTCGTCCATTGGTCTGCAGGAGCCTTAAACACAAGGTCTCTCATCTGACCACTTTTGTGTCCATATATCAGGTCATCTGTTCATGTGGAGACAGGCATATTGGTCACTCGACTTGTATCGTGTGTAAAAGGGTTGAAGAACACTATCTCTCGTGGTTGAAAAAAGGCGTTAGTGGCTCCATAAAGAGTGAGATGATTCAACACCTTGTCAATACTGGTCACTCCATCTCAACAAGCCCCTCTTTCTAAGTAATGTACAAAGTGAAGAACAGCCTGCCAAAGACAATGCTCCTTCGTCTACTCGGCACTGCCGAAGCTTCA